GTTTTAATCTAATAATTATATAAAAAGATATTTTATTTATAATTTAAAGTTTATTATATAATTAAATATATATCTTTAATATATTAGAATAGGATATTTTAGAAAAATATAATTAGTTTTATAATTTAATATTCTTTTTTATATTTATATATTTATTAATTTATATAATATAAATATTTAAAGATTATAGATTTATATTCTTTAAATAGTCTTTTTATATTATTTATCTTTTATTAGTTATAGCTCTTTAAAGTTATTTTTTTCTCTCTAGGGTAGTATATCTTTTTTTTTTCACGTTACTTTTAGGTAGCCACTGTAGATGAAGGATTACAGCATAAACAAACAGTATGCAGTGGCTAGTGCCTGCTCTGTTATTTCCAAGGCGATAGACTAGCCCTCTCTTTTTCCATTTCATTCGACTGTACAAACGTACTTACCAACGATGCCACAGAGAGGCGGCATTGATTCAGCGACATCATTGTGGATATGCGGTACATTCAAGTAATTCCGCTCATAACCTAAAACCCCACTAAAATACCTACTTTTAAAATACTAATACTATAAGAGCTAATACCTAAATTTAGTTTTTAATAATTATAATTAAATTCTTTAATAGTTAAAGTATATAAAGTTCTTTTTAGAAAATTTCTTTAAAGTTTTAATAAATTGATATATTTATATAAAAACTTAAGAAATAATTTTACTAGTTAAATATACTTTTTTAACTTTTTTAACTTTATTAAGTAATTAAATTAACTTATTAAAATAAATAAAGATATAGATATTTTTGATTACTTTAGCTATTTCTTTATTTTTAGATATTTATTATATAATTAATATAAAATAAGAATTTATTAAAATTATAGCTTAAAAGTGGGTATTTTAGTGGAATTTAGGGTCACGAGCGGAATTACTTCTAACCTACTGTATATCGCAAGACGCTGCCTCTGACGCGTCGTAGGACTATACCGCGATTCCATGCCCTCTCTCTTGAGCATCATAGTCTATCGCGACTTCTATTCTGATCTTTACGACTCACTCAAACTGGTCGCACTCATCGGGCCGCTTCGAACAACTTTTTTGGCGTCGTTAGTGTTAGCGTGGTGCGTGACGACTTTGTCGTCGAGCATCGTGGCAGGCGTTTTACCCACTCGACACGACTTCGTCACCGCATGATGCTGACGTGCAGCGAGGCAGTGAATTACAAAATCGCGGTTGAAGTAGCGCTACAGATCATTGCCTAGAAGAAGTCAAAACTCTTCTAGGTCAATGCTCTACGCGCTGTTGCCGATGCCGACGTGCTGGTCGTCTCTGACCAAGACCTGCTAATTGTTCTCCGAGGCGGCGTTCAAGGTTGAGGCTAGTTCTGGCTAGAAAGGGCATAGGAGCCACAACACGTCTGGCCGCGGATACCTGCTCTGCATTAGTCAGTACGCAACACTGTAATAAGAAGTTGACGTTTATGTGTTAAGTAGATTAGAGTTTTTTGGTGTCTTTGTGCGCTTAAGAGAATAAGACAGTTTTCTTGTTGTGCTTTTCGCCGCCACTCTCTAGCTGTTGTTTGCCTGGAATGGCTGCGCTGTGATGTTCCCCTCACCTGCAAACCCCACACCTGGTAAACCACCTATCATTATCGCGGCGCCGCCACCACCGAGCTTCCTTGTAGCAGCTCAAGCATCCCAACTTCAAAACAAGTTACCAAGTGTGCATTTCTCCGTCATTCGGCTGCATTGTGTTCCATCCTTGAACGTTACTACAGCCCGCCTCCGCGCCGACTTGTCACCATTCTGCAGCATCTCGAAGACTCCAAACCGCAACGCAGTTACAACCGCGCGTATCCACCCTCCAGCCGCCTTGCGCAATACCGTTGTCGCCGAGGGCCGTCCATGATGGCGAGCCCGGCGCTCAACTTCATCACCTTCAATCAGGACTACAGCTGTCTTGCTGTTGGTATGTGGCCTTCGTCTTATCTTGCAGCTGTGTTCTCAATAGCTTTGTTGCATGACGATGCGTCGGACTGACCGCTCGCAGGTACCTCAAAAGGCTTCCAAATCTACCACACCGACCCATTCTCTCGCATTTTTAGCAGCGACGATGGCAATATTGCAATCATTGAGATGCTGTTCTCTACGTCTCTTGTCGCCTTGATTCTATCTCCGCGCCATTTGGTTATACAAAACACCAAGGTCTGTTACCGAACCGTCACGTTTACCTGCGCTCATTGCTGACTCTGCGCTATCACAGAGAGCTTCGGTTATTTGCGAGCTCACATTCCCTTCTGCCGTTCTCGCAGTGCGTCTCAATCGGAAACGCCTTGCTGTCGTACTCGAGGAGGAGATTTATCTCTACGATATCAGCAACATGAGTCTCATCTACACCATACCCACATCCCCCAATCCGTCAGCCATCTGCGCCCTATCGCCCTCATCCGAGAATTGCTTCATCGCCTATCCGCTACCGAAACCACGAGAAGATTCCGATGTCAGAAGACCTTCTCATGCGCCACCTCAATCGACATATGTAGCCCCGACTGCAGGCGATGTTCTCGTGTTCGATACTCTCACTTTGAAAGCTGTTAATGTGGTTGAGGCGCATCGCTCGCCGCTATGTAGTATATGCCTCAACAACGATGGAACCTTGCTCGCGACAGCTAGTGAGACTGGCACAATCATTCGAGTGTTTTCTGTCCCTCGTGGCCAGAAACTGTATCAGTTCCGGCGCGGCACATACCCATCAACCATCTACAGCATGTCCTTCAACTTGAGTTCCACGCTACTCTGTGTTTCCTCAACTTCTGATACCGTCCATATATTCCGTCTGGGAGAACCTCCAGGTGACAGTACTTTAGCGGGTACGTCTATTGAGCCCCATGGGTCTCCAAGACGAGATCGCTGGTCGCGTGCCAGACCACACGATGAGGGGTGGTCTGCAGGCGACAGTGCCGCCGAGTCACCGAGAAGTGAGGTGGCAGAGCTATCTGACAATCCTGGCAAGACTATAAATCGAAGACAAAGTGGTTCATTCAGCAATATGCTCCGTCGATCATCTCAAATTATGGGGCGAGGTGTCGCAGGCGTCATGGGCACCTATCTTCCGCAGTCGGTCACCGAGATGTGGGAGCCCATGAGAGACTTTGCTTTCATCAAGATTCCCAAATCAATGGCCTCGCCGAATAATTTGCGCTACACAGGCGGCTCGCCTAACGGCCCTTTACGTAGCGTCGTTGCCATGAGCAGTAGTAGCCCTCAGGTCATGGTGGTAACTAGCGACGGCGGATTCTACGTCTATAATATTGATATGGAGGATGGTGGAGAGGGTTATCTCGTCAAACAATTCTCGTGAGTCGCTTCCGCCACCGCGACTTCGTGCATTTTACGATACCCTCCGCTAACGAATTGTGACTGCAGTGTTCTCCAAGGAGACGACAAGATTGACGTTTCGCCCTACGGCGTCTGAAGCGGGGAAGGACAGAAGGAATCAGAGCACGTAACCTTACTGTCCAAGATACGCGCATGCTGGACTTTATTTCCTCGAACGTGGCTGTCTATCCATCGACTACCTCATCTCGTCACATATACACCACGGGTCTTTCCAAGACCTACGTTCCCCATTTCCCCTTTCCCGCCTCCTTCCCTCCTAAAAGGTAGCTTAAAGGAAGCTTTTGTACTTGCTTTGCCCGATTTCATATACTTTACGCAAAGGTTACGGCACACTTCAATCAAACAGTCAATTTCATCCTTGGACAGCTTGCCTGCGCTGCCACAGCCTAGGCGGGCCTTTCAAAGTAGGGCAATCATTAAGTATTGAAATGCATCGAATACAGCAACCTCAGTGCTATACATATGTGCCTAAGATATCCTATATCATGCTGCAATGGTATGTCAGCCAGGTCCACGAAAGCATCCAATCCAGCATGAATAGAACATACCCATGTTACCTTTACTCAGGTATTGCAGTCGTTTCATCGTGACGACAAAGGAATCTCATGTCCATCGTAACCCATGAATAGAATTTTCTCGTGAAAATTATCTTGTAAGAGGCATACCAATGTTCCCAACGAAACATGCCGGACGCCGGAACAAAAGCTTCATTCGCCATGTGCTATGCAGATGTTGTTTTCGCCCATGACGATGACTCATAGTATAGGTGACAAAACGTCGTGTTCTTTCTCCTCTTCTCCCCTTTACCGTGAATATGGCTTATTCATCAACGCAATTTCTCGCGCAATTTCTGCCCATTCGAGTTCTCGTGTAAACGTTCCTGTGCCTTCGTCGGTCTGCAAGATGGCTTGCTCCCACTGTAGGAGCTCGTATACAAACCGTAGGTGCGGCTGAATAATGACGTTCAATCGGCGAGCTCTCACAAAGCAATATGCTCGTGGAAACGAGAGCCTAAGGGCACGCATAACCTCGGCAATGCAGATGGTCGCGCTTCGCGAAACGCCGACGCGGCAATGAACCAGAGTGGCGGTCCCGAGTCGTTTCCCCCGGTCTACAATGAGCGATTGGTCAGGCGATGTGATGAACGAGGGGAATTCAATTGATGTTTTCCATTCTTACCGATAAACTCGAAGCACTTTTTGAATTCGTCCGTTAGTGGGTCAATGCCATTGTCTTGCACTCCTTGAACGATGCAAACGTTTTCCTCTCCCCAGGATTCCAAGTCTCCTTCGCGCCAAGAAGCATTCTCACCAACAGACAAGATTTGCCCAATTCCCATTTCTCGCAACAGGGCCGGGTTGTTGGCATGTCCAAGATTCCCAAGGTAAAGGTAATCAAGGATACGGCTAGGCAGTGAGCCATCCAGGCTGCAAAACCAACCGGGTTCATTCTTGACTAGTTCCATAAGATCGTTGGTGTTTTCTTTCTCGCACTTTGGTGACTCGCAAAGGAGGCGTGGAGATATAGCTTTCAGGAGGGCAACATCTGTGGGATAGGCGAAGAAGTTGCGCAGTTTTGTTGTGTGGAGATTCAGCCATGCATTTGGCACAGTGAGCCCGGAGCTATAGCTGAAATATGCTATTCCTAGCATACTTGATTCGGTGTAGCCATCGGCACAATGTATTAAGATCTTGCGAGCTCGAGTGTTGCTGCCGCCCCTCTTTTCGTCGAAACACATCTCTGCAGCCCTGTCTTTGAATTGAAGATCTCCAATATCTTCACAGTCCGGGAGTATCCCATGCGAAATGTGATACAACCATTTGCAAGTGTTCAAGATGCCATCAGCTTCTGTCTGCGAGTAAGTGGGAGGAAGTATGCTTCCCGAGGACGGAAACTCGTGGAAGACCTCGGGCTCCTTTTCCAAGGGGCATTTGGCCACCTGCTTTAGCGACTCGGGGTTCATTTTACCGAGATCGCTGCATTCAATTAATATGTCGAAACGCTGCTCCTCAATACTTCCTGGTTCCGGAGTCGGTCCCATGTAAACATTGTGTGATATCTCGGATGCGAGTGTCATGTCCCACATTTCTCTTCTTTCCTGGCGAACCAAATCCAAGACTTGACCAGTCAGGCAACCCGCGGCATCTACAGCGACAAGATCGCCATGTTGCCGCTCAAAGTCCGAAAATGGACAGACACAAACAAAGCAATTATAATCTTGGATGCCATCTGCGTGGATGTCGTTCTGCTCTCGCCACCTCTTCTGCGCAGCAGCGATGTCCCAAGCCATTCGCCTGGTTTGAGGAACGTCATCGCCATAAACGATAATATCAGAAACTAGAGCAATTTTGGCGGCCTGAATTTGGAAGTTTCGCACGGAAAAGCCGTCCGTAGGGTCCGGATCTACGAACTCAGCTGTAGGGCTGTTTTTCATAATTTCTTCGGGACCAATAGCGCCCTTGAGGCGACTGTTGGCAAGATTTCCATCGGCTTTGACGAGGGTGACAGCTCGAAAGCCGGTGGGAGGTTTGAGAAGTGATCCTCGACGACCTGTGAAGAACGTCTGCTGCAGGTGGTTGAGGGGATGCAATCCGTGTAGCCATGGAAAGACGCAAGACGCGGCAGGGAGCGACTGGCTAGCCGCGTAGTGCAAGGCTTCAGCAACCTGCGATGCAACAATCTCATATATCGCTAGTGTTCCGGCCACGGTCTTGGCATAAGTTTTCGGAGGGTATAAAAGCGATGTTTGGCGGAACTCTTGCGCGCCCCCTGGAGAGGGCGGAGGTGTAACTAAGTCAGTAAATTTAGCAGGCCCTGTCGGACACACCGGAATATGCTTGTTTGGCAAAGCAGTATGCTGTGGCGGGCCGGACGGCGCAGACGATTCAAGAGAGAGTGGTGGCGTGATGTTGTCGGCGTCAACATCGATTGTGGAGGAAGGGCGGTGAGAAGGAATAGGTCTGGGCACAGCAAGAGTGGCCATCTGTCCTATTTTGAGTTGATTGAATAAGGGTAGGACGGTATGATTGAATAGCTGCCAGGTCGTTTAATACTAGCAGTCGAGGTCTGATGATGTGGGTCAACTAGATGAACAATATTCCGCGGGGGGGCGTCATACACGATAAATATGATTCGCTAGCGCGAAACATGCCCGGTATTTGTGAATTCGCCTGGCAACCTTTGGGGATACTCAAGATTGCGCGACGGTGACTGGGGGTTTGTTAGCATATATAGTTGCTTGGAGGAGCGGCTGATAATGCTGCAATAATGGGTCGAGAACACGCGCTATGCCTTACATTGCATACACTGGAAGCTCGGCGCCACCAATTCGATAAAAAAAGCGTACGGCAAGCGAAAAAGAAAAGGCGAGACCGCAGCTCTAGCTGGAAGATGACGACCAGTGCCAGAGTGTAGGCTGAGGCCGTCAAACGGCAGCAGGCTAGAATTTGGCGAGGCTGGTTTTACTGGCGCGGAAAGAGCGGTAGCTATGTTGGGAGGGCCAATATCAGATGTAGAGAGATTGGTATTAGCGACGGCAGGCGACAAGAGAAGTCAGAGATGGCTGTGAAAGCCTCGACAATGAAAGCGGGGGAGGAGAGAAGGAGAGGATAAAGATAGGGTGAGATGTAAGGGTTGCACAAACGGCGGCCGTGTTTTTGTTTTTTGGAGGCTTGGAGGGACGCCGCCAGCGGTAAGGTCAAGTTGAGGAGACACAAGACAAGACCCGACAAAAGTTGGGCTGCACGGCTGTTCAACGGTGTGGATTGGATGATAACTCAGCCACCGACTGCCGGAGGCCCCCTTCCCCCAGTCTCCAGAGCATTATGGCGGCAAGCCTGGGATGATGGAATATGGGCCGGCTCACTCGCCGATGGTGTGTGTAGGTACATACCTAGGTACCTACCTACCTACCTAGCTGGTGTAGTAGACGAAGTTTAGTGCGCGATACAGTGGGTCGTAAGTAATTCCGCTCACGACCCTAAATCCCATTAAAATACCTACTTTTAAACTACTAATACTATAAAGGCTAGTACCTAACATAATTTTATAAAAATAGTAATTTAATTCTTTAGTAGTTAAAGTATAAGGGTTAATCTTTAGAAAATATATATAAAGTTTACTTAATTTATAATATTTAAATTAAAACTTATAATAGTATTTTATAAATAAAATTTACCTTTTTTACCTACTTTTAACTTTATAAGATATAATTATTATTATTATTAAATTACCTTAGTTAACTTAAAGAGTTTTTTTAATACTTTTACTTTTAAAAAAATAAGAAAAACTAATGTTTTTAAAGACAAACCCATTTTACTTTATAATATTATTACTAACTTATTACTATTTATAGTAAAAGCTAGTATAGCTTTTTATTTTAATAAAAAGTAAAGATTAGATAATTAAAATAAAAAAGAAAAATAATTAATATCAAGTATAAATAAATAATATTAAGTATTAATAAATAACTAAAAGGAGAGAGAGATATTAAGACTTGGACTTTGTAGTTTATCTTTTTTATATTTAACTTAAAGCTAATAAAGAGTTAAAGTAAGCTTATAAAGCTTATATTATAATAATAATATTATTATAACTTTTTTTTCTTCTTTTTTCTTTTTCTCTTTATAAGAATTATTAATAATTATAATATTTATTTATAAAGGCCTAGAGCTAGTCTATAATAATAATAATATATCATAATAAAAAATTTTTAATTATATATACTTATATAAATAAGAGGTATTTCTTATTTATAATATTTTCTAATTTATCTAATAATATTATTTAATTATTTAAATAAATTAGAATAAATGTATATTAACTCTTATATATATTAGATACTCAAATAGATTTACTATTAAGGTATAGAAGGTTATTATAAAGTAGAAGGTAGTATAATATAGGAAGTAGATAAGATAATAGGTTAATAGTAAGATAAAGAATATAATTATTTTCTTTTAGTAGTTAATTTTTATAAGAAATGCCTCTTTTATATAAATAATTAACCTAGAGGTCTATTTAAATCTAGATCTTTATTTAAGTTTAATAATATTATATATTTTAACTAAAAATAATAAAGATTTAATAATTATAGGTTAGAAATAATATTTAACTATAACTTAACTAATTTTAGTCTAGTAAAGATAAAAGTAGGTTTAACATAATTAGGAAAAATAGGGCTTTCTAATAGTGCTATTTATGTAATTATAATCTTGATAGTTATCTTTACACCTACTAGATAGTAAAAAGATATTTTCTACGTGATAGCGGATTATTGCTATGTTAAAAACACCCCTCGCGCGCGTAGTCAGGTATTGAATTTAGGCAACGTCAACGTTTTAAAAGCTCAAGCCCGGTTGTGCTGCACTTGGCGCAAGCTGCAGGCCAACCAGATCATGAGGTACAGAGACCCAGCTTTGTCTGTGCACCTTGCCGCGGATTGGTAAAAGCCCCATTGCCTTCGAGGAACCATTGGTCCACCATCAACGTTCAATAATGACGTTGCAAGTTATATTGTGTTGCTCCCACGGGCAAACTTCAAATGGTCAGCATCATTCACTCCAGCAACAAAGATTTCCAGCGCTGCGTTGCACACTCGCATATTGCGGCCATAATCACGTGATTTCGCGACCTCTGGCGTTCTGCCTGCTGATAGGCTTCACGTCCCGCAATGTCAAGCCTGATTCTTGAACAACTTACGCCGCTACGATTCGACTCAGATCCGCATTCTGCGGTCAATACTATAAAATGAAGTTCTACATTGGGTATATCTCTACTTCATCACTACCTCTGTTTACCTTGATCAATTAACCAATTTAGGGACCTTCCCGTTCTCTTTCCCTACCCGAGAATTTACCCTGGTTTGTCGAGCTCGCTTCACCATGCGTTACCTTGTGCGCTGACCTGGCGTGTTAATTCTAGAGCAGTATTCGTACGTTAAACTCCTGTACGGCCAGTCATTTGCCTAATGCACTAACACTGTGCCTAACACAAGGTACATGTGTGATTTGAAAAGTATGCTCTCCTCACGCTTCGTCACGGCCAGTCCAGCTTTCACCTATCTGCCTACCCATCATGTACAACTCTTTTGACTGACTTTGACCCCACAGAGACTCTTGATGCAGGGGGCCACTGTGTACTCGAAATGCCTTCGGGCACGGGAAAGACGGTTTCGCTACTGTCTCTAATCGTCGCTTATCAACAATCTATGCCGGAGAAGCGCAAGCTCATCTACTGCTCTCGTTCGTGCCCGTAACTTATCAAGGATTCAGAATTGTTAGTTTACTTATAGATCATTCACAGGTACCATGTCCGAAATCGAAAAGGCGCTGATGGAGTTGGAGGCTTTGATGAAGTACCGCACTGAACAGTTGGGACATGAAGAAGACTTTCGTGGTCTTGGTCTAACGAGCCGAAAGAACTTGTGTCTTCACCCTTCTGTCAAGCGTGAAAAGAGCGGGTCCGTTGTTGACGCTCGATGTCGAAGCTTGACAGCAGGCTTTGTCAAGGAGAAGAAGGAACGCGGCGAAAACGTGGACCTGTGCGTCTATCATGACGTACGTTTCTCGCTTGCTCGCAGATCATCTTGTTTCTTCGCTCACGAGTTATAACAGAATCTCGATCTGCTCGAATCCCACAACCTTATTCCGAATGGTGTTTGGACTTTTGACGGCATTTTGCGCTACGGGGAGGAGCACAAACAGTGCCCGTACTTCACCGCGCGTCGCATGGTACGTGATTCAACCACAATTCAAACTACATGCATACATTAATTGTATTATTTCAGATGCAATACTGCAACGTTGTCATATTCTCCTACCATTACCTCTTAGACCCCAAGATCGCAGAACGTGTCACCAAAGACTTTTCCAAGGACTGCATTGTCGTGTTCGATGAAGCACATAACATCGACAATGTATGTATCGAGTCACTGAGTACTGATATCACGGAAGATTCATTACGACGTGCGACACGGGGGGCTCAAAATCTCAAGCAAAAAATTGCAGACATGCGCGAAACGGATCAAGAGCAGTTGCAAAATGAATATGAAAAGCTGGTTCAGGGCCTCAGAGAGGCCGATGAAGCTAGGCAGGAGGATGCCTTTATGGCAAACCCAGGTAATATTACGGCACTTCGGATCCCTTCAAGGCAGACAAGCTCACCGATAGTTTTTAGTGCTTCCTGAGGAACTCTTGAGAGAAGCCGTCCCAGGAAATATTCGCAGAGCAGAACACTTCGTGTCATTCTTGCAGCGATTCATCGAATATCTGAAGGCAGGCGCCCCTGTTTCGCATTCGCGTCGTAATTCTAACTAGAAGATAGACACGTATGAAAGTCCGTCAGGTCATCTCAGAGACGCCCCCGTCCTTTCTTGCGCACCTGAAAGAGCACACATTTATCGAAAAGAAGCCTTTGGGTTTCTGTGCAGAGCGTTTAACTTCACTCGTCAGAACACTGGAGCTCACCAATATCGATGACTATCAACCTCTACAAGAGGTCGCGACATTCGCCACACTTGTTGCCACCTACGATAAGGGCTTCTTATTGATCTTGGAGCCATACGAATCAGATACAGCCGAAGTCCCCAATCCGATCCTCCACTTCACTTGCCTGGATGCGGCAATCGCCATTCGGCCAGTCTTCGATCGTTTTTACTCCGTCATCATCACCTCTGGAACCATCTCGCCTCTGGAGATGTATCCAAAAATGCTCGATTTCTCAACTGTTATCCAAGAATCCTACAGTATGACTCTTGCCCGCCGCTCCTTCTTGCCAATGATTGTGACGAGAGGAAGCGATCAAGCTTCCATTTCAACCAGCTTTCAAGTTCGCAATGAGCCCAGTGTAGTGCGGAATTACGGAAACTTGCTGACAGAGTTCGCCAAGATTACACCAGATGGCTTGGTTGTCTTTTTCCCTTCATATCTATACATGGAATCCATCATTAGTATGTGGCAGGGAATGGGCATTCTTGACGAGGTATGGAAATACAAATTGATCTTGGTTGAGACGCCCGACGCACAAGAGACGTCCTTGGCTTTGGAGACTTACCGAACAGCTTGCTGCAACGGTCGCGGCGCCATTCTGCTCTGTGTCGCTCGTGGCAAAGTATCAGAAGGTATCGATTTTGATCATCAATACGGTCGCACAGTTTTGTGTATTGGGGTACCTTTTCAGTACACGGAATCGCGAATCCTCAAGGCAAGGCTGGAATTTTTGCGAGAGACATACCGCATCAAAGAGAACGATTTCTTATCCTTTGATGCCATGCGGCATGCTGCTCAGTGCCTAGGACGCGTCCTGCGAGGCAAGGACGACTACGGAATCATGGTCCTCGCCGACAGACGGTTCCAGAAGAAGCGACCACAACTGCCGAAGTGGATCAATCAGGGCTTGATGGATGTCGATGTCAATCTGAGCACGGACATGGCTGTAAGCAGCGCCCGGCGCTTCTTGAAGACAATGGCACAGCCCTTCCGCGCTAAGGAGCAAGAAGGCATCAGTACCTGGGGCTACGAGGATCTAGAGCGCAAGGCCGCACTGGATCGCGAAGAGGCGCGCAAGGCGGAAGAGGCGGCGGCAGTTAAGGCGGCGCAAATGGCGGCTATGCAAGACAATAACAAGGACTACGAATTCGACGACGACGATTTGGATCAAGACTTGATGGAGCTCGAGAATTTCTAGATCTTGCACCATCACGCCACACTTTTCATTGTGTGTACGCACATACTACAGGTATAACCTCTTTTCAGGCATTGGGAGAATTTGTGACCCACTCGCTCAGGCCGTGTAGTAATAGAAAAATGTATCAAGGGTGGAGGAAAACTTGTCGTCTCGTTTTCTCTGTCTCTTGGGTTTGCAGTTGAGCAAAAAGCGGACACAACATCAACTAAGAAGCCATCGCTCAAGTAAATTGAACTCACGATTGGGGATGAAGATACAATCGTTCGCGAAGAGTGTGTAGACTATTTCTTGCCGTCTCGCTTCGTTTTTTTGACTGCCCTCATTGCCGGGAACGTGTGGCTACGGCCTGGTTTCCGGCCAATTTCCAAGCACACCATGCGAATAAAGTCTTGGTTTGTCCAATAACTGGTGTGCGCACTAAGCATGTTCAAGTACTGAATCTCGAGAGGTCCGCCAGAGGAACGTAGGAACCAATCAATCTGACCGTTATCATTGAGCAGATACGCCTTTTTCTCGGCAATTTCTTCTCTTGTGAAATCGTGAATCTCTAGCTCTAGCTGCGAGGGCATGCGAGCTGTTGTTGGTCTTTGCGGCTCAATCGCAAGCGGATCTGGCTCCGGATTCAGACCGGGCACCACCTGCCTGATGGCGTCCCTGACAGTGCTTATCAGCGAGGGTGTGACGCTTGGTACGTAGGCGACCTTAAGGCTCGAGGAGTAGGAGGGGTCAATTGCGCCGGTCAACAAATATGCAATCGGGTCCTCTTTAGCCAAGACATTGTATACGTTATCCACGGCCAGACACCCAAATGTCCCAGCCTCCCCAACCACGTTCTTGGCGACTACATCGCCGTCATCCGCTCCAGCCTTTGTTCGGCCACAACGGGGCATCAGCGCACCTTTTTCCAGCAATAAAAAGAAGCCGGCCGGGCTTCCCGCCAAGAACAGATTCGTAGTGTTGAATTCGAAGTGCTGATCGTCGGGCGCAATTGGCGTGCAGAGATTTAACCGAGGCACGCTCGTAGGCTGCCGAGATAGAATGTCGACCGCCATGACACTACCCAGTGAATGCGCAATCAAGTGAACCCTGCCTTTATCAGAAAACCCAGGATTGTTTCGACACCACAATCTATAAACGCGATTAGCTTCGCGTACCAAAGCTGTTATCATCTTTATTTTGTGGTGAGACATGTAAAATGGAATGTCAAACATGACATCGGAGATCATGCTCCGAACCGCGGGTATCGTGCTAGGTTCAATGTCTTTCAGGTCGAACGACCCTGTCGTGTCCTTGGTTCCGGTTGGCGTCGCATCATCACTATCAAATGAAAGCCCGACTCTCCAGTTGAGTGGCAGTATCATGAAGCCATTCTGATCTGCGCGAAGGACGTTCTGGATAGTCGGGTTCCCAAGCTCGATGTTAACAGCTCTTCGAAAACTATTGATAGCATGCGTAAAATGATAGCTTTCTACCCTTTCTGCAATCTTTTGTCCAATACCGTGGGCAACTAGAACAAGGTCTGTAATTTGCCCGCGATCCTTTTCGGCGGAACAAGCAGGACATTCGCTTGATATCTCTTCTTGGGCATTTACCGCAGGTACCTCTTCTGCTGTTACAGCAGCTTTTTTGGGACCCTGGAGCCTGTTCCAGGAGCGTCTATCAAAGCCACGGACGACAGGCAGCCCTACAGTCAACCCTCGCAGTATCTTTGCAACGGGACATCTACCGTGGTATGAAGATGGTGCCAGATTAGGCTTCAATAGGAATGCCGTCTTGCGATCTTTGTATATGACTTGATATCTGGCAAAGGGACGGTTGGGAAGCTGCTTCTCCATATTGAGCGAGTATATGGAGCCATTTGCGGCGGCATCCCCCCGAAAGCACCGTGCTGCGCAGAAAAGGTCAGATGAGATGATCGGCTCGGAATCACACGAGTTGATACCATTCAGTGGACGGTTGTGCTCGGGCCATAGCTGATATGAGACTTTCTCTTCGCCTGCGGCTCCGACTTCCAGGGCGCATGCCAATTCTTCCTTCCAAGTCTCTGTCCAAGGCTTCATTTCTTGATATCCAGCTTCTAACTGGTTAGCCACTGCCGTAGATACGGGCAACATTGTGTCCCTGTTTGATTGTTAAAACAGTTGTTTCAAGAAGTCAAAGTGAGTTTTATATTGCTTGCCTGTAAAACCATGTTGCTCTGGTCACCACTGCAACATCGTTGATCGGTGACCAGTAAATTGGCTTCATTTGAAGATCAGGCAAGTCAACTAGATGCAGTCTGGATATCCCAACAGTGATGTGTGCTTTTGGAAGTTCCTCTGTTTTGAATCCAGTAGCGAGCGGGTAGTACGATTCATGTTGTTCTTTAGTTTCGTGATGCTTGCCAGAAAGACTTTCCGGTCGCGTCTGCGCCAGAAGTTTCTGTGAATCGTTCGACAGAGATTGACCGTGCGATATTGAAGGAGTCACAAGATCGGACCCTGCTCCTGGGCCATTGACTCTTGCGAAAGGGTTCCCCGTAATTCCATCGCGCGTTGCCGAGTTTCTAGGCATCTCATTCGTTCTGTTTGAATGATCGGATAGCTGAGAGTCAGCTCGCATGCGAGATTTGGTTTCACCTCCCGTCCAGGAGGAACGCTTGCTCTGGCTCTTTCCAAAACTTCTCATATCATCAACAAAAAACTGCTTCGGCGTTGAAGGCTGAGACAGTGAGCCTACATCGATGGTTTTAGAATTCTTGTTGGAAGATTCAGATTGAAGTGAGTTCAATATTGGACATTCTTCGCTGTCTTGTTGTAGTTGACGACGGCGTATCAATGCTGATACATCTGTGGCAATCGCCTCTGGACGGAATAACGGATCAACAGCTCTCGCTAGTGAGCACGTTGTGTGCTTGAGCTGTTCTTTGATCTCATTTAGCAGCTCAGAGCAGCATAGCTCCTCTTGCGTGTCTCGCATCTCGTTTGTGCTGGCTGCGATGCGAGCTGTGAGGTTCTGGTCGTGCTTGACTTCGAGATGAATTTTCCCGTGCTTTTGAGCAGCTTTCTGCACGAGTTCCTCTCGCGAACTTGCATCTTTGTTGGCTACTGACCCAGTCTTTGGCTTTCCGGAGCGCAGAGCCTCGTGGCGACTACGACTTTCAGTGTTAGACAGAGACACCCACGCTGTTTCCAGCGCGTTGTTGTCACCTCGGCCGAAAGGTCGCAGTAGCTCCTTGTATTTCTTGAAATCGGTGGTTGCCGTGTGCGAGCTCGCGGAAAGCGGGTCATCAATCGGTACCGAGGAAGAGTAGAAGAATTGTGCCTTTACTGGCGGCATTCCTCCGTCCCTGTCAGGGAGGTTGACGGGGGTTTGCCGACATTTCGCATCGAAAGTATGCTCCACGAGCACCATTGCACCCAATGATGATTACGGTCAGCTATCGAGAAGCTGACAGCGAGTCCAATACGCCCATGCGTATATTTGAGTGGTCTTTGAGTGGTAAAGGGGAGGTCGCGGTCGCTGTCGCGGAACGCTGGCAGTATGAGATCGAGCATCCTGGTTGTCTCTGTGTCGACAGCTCGTGACGTGGTGCAGCTCCAGTGGGGCCGTGCCTTTAGGTACAGTCACCCACAAAAAGTTTCCGGTCACGGCCACTTTTACACTAAAACACTACTACTTTAATAGCTTATAGTTAATTAAGAAAAATTAACTATATAATAAAATTTAAATCTATAATAGAGCTTTAGTAGTTATTTATTATACTTTATATACTTTTTATATATTTTATTAATTAATAGAGAAAAAGGAAGTTAAAGTAAAAAAAAAACTAGAAAAAAAAGTTATAGTAGTCTTATAGGGGCTTATAGTAGATAAAGATTTTTTAAAAATCCTAACTTTTACTTTAAAGACCTATTAAAATAGGAGATAACTTAGTAAAAGTATATAAGGATATAAATATTAAATATAAAGTAAAGATGAATAAAATATAATTTATATAGAATTTTTAAACTAGTATAGAATTAATTATTAATACTTTAAAAGTGTGAGTTTTAGTGTAAAAGTGGCTCTAACCGGAAACTTTTTGTTCCCTGCTGTAGTAGTCCGCGCCACCAAGATTGGCTTGAGTACGTGTACCCAGGTAGTTGTGCAGGGATGTATCGGAGTCCAGTCGAACGAGAAAAAACCCCAACGATCTTCTGACCAAAAGGTGACACCCTGAAAAGTCAAGCAAGTGACTACGAGTCCGTAATACAGAACACCCTGACAAGATTATATAACTAGTATATTGCAAATACGTCAAAGTCTACAGGGAGGCTATAGAGCATCTGAGTGACTACCATGAGCGCTGCCTTAAAGCCTCTATTACTCTTCTCGCCCCTTATCAGGTGGAATAGTGCAGTGCTTCTGTATAGATGTCAAAGGACTCTTCTATAATCATGGTAGGCGATAGTTTAAGTATGGAGGCAATCCTAAACTCCGGCTTTTAGTGTTACAGTAAAGTGGGATGTATCAGGGTTACAAAAATTCCGTCAACTTCGATCTCGCAGTTTTTATATTAAGATGATGGGTTCGATTCTCGGCTTCGCACGCCGGATGTTGAGGTACTGTTTGTTTGTTATCATGGTGTAGCAATGCACTCCTCCAGCAGGAGGGCCGCAGATCCACAACCCAGCGCCTGTCATACTACAACACTTTTGAGGCAGCGCCGCCCTCGACGACGGTCAGAAAAAATGTTCTCTGATCTTCTACGTGGCAGGCAAGCCTGTAATTTGTGTAGAAATGTGATAAGCTGCCTTTCTGCTAGTCACAATAATGATTCAGTGGTTGTAGAAAGTGTATGCTGTCATCGTCAAAACACGCACATCTGCTTTTCAGCCGCATGACTGAGTCATCACGATGAAGCGCAAGTTCTGGTATGTTGGATTGTGTGGACGAATCTAAAACTCTACATCTCGCGAGCTTTTATGTTCAGCTCGTGTACTTGCTGCTCATGACATTACGAAAATCGTAAGCATTCTACAAATGAGCTTCAAACACGAGCCTACACCGATTGCAATAGAAGTCAGGTGTTGAAAACATTATCATTTCACTCTCACGCTCATATATTCCAGTATACCTCTAACGTTATCAACAGTATACTCATCACAACTAAGCCATCCCCTTCGCCAGCGTCCAGAAGCTTTCCATTTTGGCCCGCGATAAAGCAGCGCGGGCCTCTGTGTCCGTTTCGCATACCTTGCTGCCCCATTTACGAAAGCCACGAGCTTTCTGTTCACCTTCAAAGACTAGCGTACATCGATTCAGCGACATGTCTTTTAATTCGCCTTTTGCATCTTCTGCTAGAAGCCAGTCGCGTGTGGCATTCTTGCCATCACGATCTCGAGATGGCGCATTTTCAGTCCAGTCAATGCGGTTGAGCATGAGTTTCTTGTATTTATTAATCGCCCAAGAGCCACCTTCAACGACGAGCAAGTTGAATTTCGGGTGCATGATGCAGGTACCGGTCAAAGAAAGCTGTTCTGCGTTGACACTAATCTTGTAGCGATGCTGCCCGTTCGCCAAGCTATTAACTTTCAACACGAGGACATGAATACCCTTTTCGAGATCCTTCTGCTGATTTGTCGCTAACTTGTCATGTCTTTGTTCATTCGTGAGTTTTCGTTCCTCGTTGGTGTCAACATGCTTCTGTTGTCGTTCGGCGATTTCTCGGTTCACACGGGCTTCGACAGCGGTGGGATCCTTCACAGCAACTAGTGCGATACAAGTCAATAACTACATTCAGCATGTCCTAACGGTTGCATACATACCATCTCCAAGAACACGCATGAGGTTACCCTTCTTCACTTTGGGAGGGGGGGCTGGTACGAGGCCCAGCCTGATCTTTGCTTGCATCTCCTTCCCTTCCGCCATTCGCCGTTGTCTTCTGATCTTCGATTGCTCTTTGGATGTTAGATACATGGGTTTCGGTGCAGGGGCCAAGCGATCCTGCGGCGGCTCCAGCGCAACGGGATGCTGGACATATTCCGTGATGATGCTGTCCGGTGAATCAATTTTCAGTTTGTTGGCGTGGTCGAGTGCATCGTAAGATTCCCCATCTATAAGGGCTTCATCCCACCACTCCACATGCGGTGGTTCTTCTACTAGAAAGTTCTTTTCGGTATCCAGATCCTCATCTATACCGGCCTTTCTTGTCTGCTCGGCGATGCGCTTCTTCATCGCCTCGAGCGCCTCTTGGCGCCTGAGGGCGTTGGCCTGTTGGATGTACTTACCCTTCTGATTGAATACTAATCGCTTTGGCTCGCGAACCCGGCCGAAAGATGGCTGTGCTGCCATGGAACCGTCAATGTACGGGTTGCGCCGGCCGGTACCAAAGTCGCCGCTGCCTTGGACTGTAACTGCAGCTGACCCTTTGGTACTGTAACGAATGTTCTTCCCAACGTTTGACGATTTATTTTCCTTGTTTTGAGGCTTCCATGACGCCAAGTCTTCGAGGGCCGGATGTAGACCAACATTCAGGCCGCCTTTTGCTTTGCTGGTTGCAGTTGCAGCCGCAACTCGAGCCTTTAGAGCAGCCAGGCGCTCTGCTGCCAACTCTGGTTTCTGGATTTTGGTGGATGGATCCCTTCTTGCGCCAAGCCCCGATGGCTGCGACTGGCGCTCCATACTTAATTTCGCCGTTCGCCGTGTGTAGTTGTCGACAAGAGTCCTGCTGCCGTGTCGCTGTGTGGTTGTGTGGTTGTTTGGGTTGAAAGCATGAGGCTGCTCGTTGCGACTCTCCACGTGAATTCAACCTTGTGCTGCCAATCGCATGTGTATACTTCGTATCGCTCTACGATGGCATGGAATCGAATCGTGCGAGAATAAAGCCGAGGCACTTGGAGTGAACTCCTATGCATCTTCAAAAACTGCCTTTCGTCCTCCCTCAGCTTTGTGTACCTGCTCGTGGTGAGTGGGTACAGCGGCTCCACAGCAGGAGCAGGTATCCGAGCCTTGTCTACCTAGTTAGTTGGCTGGCTGGCAACAGCCGCTGAAGACAACAAAATTGAATCAACGATGTTCTTATGGAGGTATACTCTAGGGGAGCTTTCTACGAAGAATAGTCAATTTGTGTCAGTTTTAGTGTTCCTCTGCAAACGCGTGTACCTTTGCATTGCGACCTGCATACCCTCAAGGGTCACAAGGCAGTAACGCTAGGCCGCAATCCATTATCTCGGTCGGGTTTTTTAGTCCTGACAGTGTCGTGTCAGCTGGAGACGGTCGATTGTGTACCTACCTAGGTAGGTAGAGATTTATCTGGCATTTCAACAGCCCGCGGGCCCTACAAGTCAGCTAAAGTAGGCGAGGAAGGCTACCACATCCCCCTCCTACTACCGTTCCGTACTCAACCACGGAGGCACTGGCAATGATAACCTGTTTCTTCTACTGAGCGCTGTTTCCTAATCATGGCTGCTCTGAAAAAGCACTGTATAGCTCGATACTGCGAGTCCATTAGATTGAATGGCTAATCAGATATTGCGCGAATGCTCGCAGCGTGCCTTTTTACTTCGCACAACAGCTGTGCTAATGCCATTTTTAGCATAACGCCGCCTCTACGAAATGGGGAGTTGCGCATGTGCCGATCTTCCTCTTTGGGGTCTGGATGAATTCGTGCAATGGAGGCTGCACTAATCGCGATCACGAGTACGTACGAGTCCGTCCGGACCGTACCCATGCAACTTGTACACGTGGCAACGTGGCAATCTACCATTCAAGATGCCCTTGCGTCGAATGTCCCGCCAAGGATACCCTCCGTGATGCGGCATTCTATCGTGATGACGGAAGCAGCCAGGCTCGACTCTCTAAATTGCTCGACGCCATTTTCGAGGGCTTATGGCAGAGGCACAATAAAATTTGCGGTGTCTTGAGGAGGCTGATGCCGCAAAGGGCGCCGAGACGACTAGAACGGAAGCTAAGGACGCATTCAATGATGATATTCTTGGCGTGCTTTGAAGAGTTTGCCTGAACAGTCACGGCCAGGTGCAGTTCCTGAAGACTCTTCCTGAAGACTCCAGGTCGCGGCCTTTTGACGACTGCAGCAGCCAGCGACACCAGCTTCGAAGACTGCCTAGTAACGAGTAGCCCAAAGGCCAAGAATATGCGCCATGGTGATGAATCATGCGAGGCCAACGGCGGGGGCAGGTAGCAAGGGTGACTGTTCGATACATTGCCGGTACTGTTGAATTAGTCACTACTTAGTGAGCCACTGCGGATGCAGCTCAAACATCTACGCGATATTCACTGTTCACGTGGGCGTCGCCCATAGTTGTGCAGGCTATGACCAATTGTGGGGCGGTAGGGTGGCTACAGGCATTGTTGTGAGGGTGCGTGTGGGCACGGTGGCAATGGTCAGTGTCTACGGCTTTGGATGTCACATGCGGAACAATACTCGTGGTAGTATCAATTCATTGCAATCCAGCAGCTTTCACCGGCTGCCCGTGGCTTAATATACATCCCAACTGTAAAGCAAGTTCTCGTAGTAACGCCATGATTAACCCCCGAAAATCCATGATTCCATCGTATCAAAGCAATGTCGTAAAGTGTTCACCCTATCCTCTCCAAGCTTAGTTGCGCTCACCGCGAAGGCGGCGGGCAAGCTGGATGTCCTTGGGCTGGATGGTGACACGCTTGGCGTGGATGGCGCAGAGGTTGGTGTCCTCGAAGAGAGAGACAAGGTAGGACTCAACGGACTCCTGGAGAGCACCGATAGCCGAGGACTGGAAGCGAAGGTCACTCTTGAAGTCCTGGGCGATTTCGCGAACCTGTTGCATGTTAGCATTCGGTTTGACATTTCGGCGGTTGGCTGGGGCGCTTACCAGGCGCTGGAAGGGAAGCTTGCGGATCAGGAGCTCGGTGGACTTCTGGTAGCGGCGAATCTCACGAAGAGCGACGGTACCAGGCTTATAGCGGTGAGGCTTCTTGACACCGCCGGTGGAAGGGGCACTCTTGCGGGCAGCCTTGGAGGCAAGCTGCTTGCGAGGAGCCTTGCCACCAGTGGACTTTCTTGCGGTCTGCTTAGTGCGAGCCATTGTGTAGGTATTGAGGAGAGTGCGTGGTTGTGGGGGTGTGCTCAGCGAGTGGATGTCTGATGCAGGAGGGAAAGGTCGGGAACTTAGGAGGCGGGGGGAGCCTTTTAATACCTATAGCTTGCTGGCCATAAATGGGGCGGCTGATCTGAGGCGACGCGGTGTGGAGACGTGCGCGACAGGCCAGGGCAATCTGATTGGGTGCGCGAAAAAATGGTGTTTCCGCATGCCGAAAAAATTGATGACCATAAATAATTTCATGGTGCAATGAGAGCGCTTTCCTAATCGGGCAAGGTCTGGAGCCTTTCCAACCCTGCGTCAGTAGCTATTCACCACACAATACCATCGTGGGTAATACAGGTAATATTACTTGCTGCGCATGAATCTCACGCTCCTTCTGCCCGTTGTTGCTCTGAGAGTCAGTCTGAGTACTGTGTTTTAAGTGTGTTCTCTTTTTGATGGTCTTCTTGGCCTCCTCTGCGCCACGTTCCCTATGGTCGGGCCGGTTTCGGCTTGATCTCACTTATGGAAGCTTATTGCCCAACTTGAGTTTACATGTAGTGATTAGGCGCATGACGGCAGGATCGGTCAACTGTTTGCTGGGTATCGAACTATTTTTATGTCTGCTTATCGGCTTGGGCTCTGGTTCGGGCTCTACTTGGCAGTACCCTTTAATACGTTACGTGATCGTACGTTTGAGCTGAAAGCATCTCTATTGTGTCTACCCTGTACCAGTTTTGTTATGTAGATTGACTGGGTTTTCGCGCCTGATGGAACTGCTACAACACGTGTAGTGGGACGAGAAAGTTGTTCATGCTGGTGCTCGTCGATACATGCCCATACAACCACGATGAGATGCTTTGTTGCCGGATTAGCTGTGCGTCGATAGATGGTATGAACTATGTACGTTGGCAGCACGAACTGCCCTGTTGTGGGCATCCCGGGTATAGTTATAACTACAGGATGCCGTCACTGGGCAAGTAGACGTGGCTGTCTTTAAGAGACTGCAGTCATGAGCGTATTGAGTATACGTCAGATGACAGACAGCATCGGGTCGCATTTGCACGGGTATCCGTACTCAATGAAGCCAGATCGATCAAGCCGCCGTTGCAGCTCAAAGCTGTCGGCCTTACTAGCCGGAGGAAGCGCGACAAAGCCAGCTGGCGCGACGGGTGCAACCACAAAGCAAGCTAATCATAGATGGCCAATCAAGAAAATGCAAAAATATGTCACAGATCCACCATGGCCTATTTCCCACCACGCATTTTTGTTGTTGTTTATTTCTGAAGGCTGATGTGTTATCCGCCCCTCTCTTGCACAGCACCCCTGTGCGGACGCGTTTTGCGTTCCAAAGTGGCTAGGTCGAGTTCTGCACCCCGACTGATCTGTGATCTGGCCCACCGGTACTTAAACCAGCCGGTGGCCACCTCTTTTGTTTCCTCACATTTTCTATCAACCGCCAATTAGTGCCATCTTTCTTCCTACCCCACGCACACACACAATACCACATACCCCATCACAATGACTGGACGTAAGTAACATCAAACCACTCTCGCCCGCAGCAGACATTCATGCTAACATCAGCACAGGTGGCAAAGGCGGCAAGGGCCTCGGCAAGGGTGGTGCCAAGCGTCACCGCAAGATTCTTCGTGACAACATCCAGGGTATCACCAAGCCCGCCATCAGACGTCTCGCGCGCCGTGGTGGTGTGAAGCGTATTTCTGCCATGATATACGAAGAAACTCGTAATGTTCTCAAGACATTCCTCGAGGGCGTCATCCGCGACGCAGTCACATACACCGAGCACGCCAAGCGCAAGACAGTCACATCTCTCGACGTTGTCTACGCCCTCAAGCGCCAAGGCCGTACCCTGTACGGCTTTGGCGGTTAATTGTGCTGCTGCTTTTTTTTTTTTTTGGTTTTGCTTGCGAGCTTTGGCCCATGCACAGCGTAGTGTGTGTGCGGGTGTTTCACGATGATCACGGAATCGGTTCATGCTTTTTGGGTGTTATGTACCATACGGGAAACGGTGGCTTACATTTTTGGGGGTAACAGGTAACATGCCCGAGAGGCAATTTCTATTTATTTATACAATCATCTGATGCGATGTGATCCACCCATGGAGAAATACATATATGGCGCGCCTCGATGCATCCGCTTGGACCGCAACTTTTACTATTGTGCAATGGGGCGTGCCGGTTCAGAAACATGCGCATTGCCGACAGGATAGTATCTGGCGCAGAGGCAGTGCGGTATGCAACGGACGGAGTAACATGTGCAAGTATCGAATTGTGAATTCTCCTATGCGACCGCAAAAACTCATGAATCTGAAAGACATCGTAAATGGTCAAGTTGGACATTGCAAGCGGGTTGGCTGCCACCCAACTACCATCACGACGGCTAATCAAACGAAGTGCAACCTAGAAAATGCAGAATAACAAACATGAAGCGATACATCATCAAAGTGAATGCTAACGTGCGAGTGGCTCGAGTGCGAAGTATGCATGCCCAATGATTCTCACTGATCCAGGATACGAGCGGAAGGACTGCAAGCGCCAAAAAAGCCAGTCGGTAGTACAATGGCGGATGGGTGGTTTGTCATTGTGCCGAAAACAAATCAGAATGGCGTGGCCAGCCAAAATGTCAGGCTCTTGTCTTCCAAATCTCCAAGGTGCGTGATCATGGCTGCCCGAATGCTGCATCGACGGCTCAGATACCCATAATAGGCACAGGAGCGCGCTCTATTTGCGTAGCGCACCGATATGCTGGAAAATAGTGGCGGAGTAGCGCCGTGCAGAGATTTTCATTGGTTGAGGCCCCATCCGAGACACGGCGATTACAGGTCCCGGCCAAGCCGAGATCTCTTGCTTTCTGGAACTGACCACGTTACTACGGATTACTATGGAGGAATACGGATGAAAAATCGGACGGATGATATCTTTTCGGAGACCTTAAAGCGTTCTGTGCCTACATTAAGGGCGTGTGACAGGACCAGAGAGAATTAGTTAGGTAGCATGCATATTAACTTTTTTTTTTTTTTTCGCACTCAACGTTGCAACTGGCACAGACAGCATGTCATGAGAGGCTGCCCGGCTTTGGATTTGGAGAGGGAGGGTGGGAGGCCTACCACATAAGGTACTTCGTACCTAGACGATTGCGCACCAAGCGTGCCTAGGTTTCGCGGTCAGTCACATGAAAAGGTCATGTGATCTGCCTTTGTCATTCCTAGCTGAGGCGTGTGGCTTAGATCTTGGCATCCATAAAATCCTGGAACTTTCCAGCCCGTTGTGGCTGATAAATTTTCCCTTTTAACGAGGCCTGCCCAGCTGGATATGGCGCTAACAGCATGACGAGATACTTGCCAACTTGGTCCCCGGAGAGGGAGGAGCCGGAAACGAGCACAGCCGTTCAAAGATTTTACGCAAGATGCGAGTTTGCATGCTCTCATTTACTAACAGAAACGAACGGCGTAGACGTAATAATCCGAGTACCCGAGTCTTCAAGAATTGATTGACACAGTCACACACATAGAACTACGTCGAAGGTGCTGGAAAGACCCTGCTGTAAACTCCGGATGTCATGGCTTACGGTCTGTTCTAAAAATCGAGGAGCCTGCTGCCCGGTGTCAAGTATCTTGAAAACTTGCTTGGCCGATTCTATGCTGCGTCGGCCACGACGAAGTACGACGGCTGCACCTTTCGGAAGAACTCGATCTCATCGGCCGCTTTGCTCAATCACATATCGGCACACAGGGATTACATACACCCCCCGCCCACCCCCGCCAGTCTTTTTTTCAAGGGAAAGTGGGGCTGGTACTCACACCGGCATGGCCGGTGTCTGCGTATGCAGTCGTGTTTCTATAAAAGAGTTCCTGCCTCTACGAATTTGCCACCCACGCCCCCTACCTCTCGTCCTCATCTACAACAAACCATGACATCGACATCAACTGCTACAAATTATAACTCAACTCTACAACATACTACGTCTCGCTTCGGTCTTTCACAGCAACACCTCGCCGCTCTACAGGCTGAACAAGCTACTCCGGCTGATCTTTTCGAAAACAATTTTTGGGACCCGACACGTTCCACGCCCGAAGCGCTCGATTTCGCATCTCAAGACTTCACCCGACCTTCGCTTATGAAGTCTGACGCTGCAGGAGCAATCACCCAGTTTACGCCCAAACCGGGCCGCCGTTCACACCAGAGAGAATCTTCACTGTCATCTCTTGGCTCTGTTGGACCGGCGTCGCCTTTTACACAAACCACATACAACCCGCAAATTGCTATTAGCGATTCGGCGACGGATCCCTTCTGCGAAATGTACAACAACGACACAAACGTCCACAACGCGGGAGCATACCATATGCTTTCGAAGCCTTTGGATACCCTCTCAGGATATCAGCATCTCGAGGCTGCCACTCCAGATATGGCCTATCCAGCTGCGCTTCCAGGCCAAATGAACCGCCATCGGACCGAGCGTTCGCTGCTACCAGCACCCGAGTTCAGCCATCTGTTCAACCGCTCCCACCCAGCTTCTGTGGCCAGTTCCATTGCCGGAGACTCGCCGTCTACGCCCAGCATGGGCGACATCGACCTTCTCGATCGCAGGAGAGGTATGCGAAACATCAAGCCCACCACATCTGACCAGCGCTCACGATATCGGTATGCAGCAGCTTACGGGAATGTGCCCAAGCTCGATCGTACCTTGACGGACGTGTATGGCGACGAGCTGTACAATCCGAGCTTTGCCATCACATCATCGTCGCCTGCACATCCCGCCAATGCAAGCACGACGAGCAACCACCTATTTAGTCAGCGTCTCAGCGCCGCCAATAGCCAACATCTGAATGCCGCGCACTCGCCATCTTCCACAGCCTCTCGCGGTCTTTCACCGTTTCAAGCAACCTCGCCATACGCTCCGCCCCAGCTGCAAGACTTTGACACCTCGTTTGCAACTCATCAGAAAATTGGCCACGGGAGCAATGAACAGCACCCAGCCGTCATTGGAGCACACGCAGATACCGGCATCGAGCCCGAGACACCGAAAACCATTTCTCCCCGTGATGCTATGATAGAGTTCACTGGGGTTGATGGAGAATCCAATTTCTCTTTGTTCCCAGAAGGCTCCAATGGGTTCGACTTCGACGCCTATAGTAAAGCTATGGCACAGGATACAGGATCCAACCACGTTCACCTTACTCCTGCGCAAGAGTCGCAAGGCAACCAAAGAAATTACGATGACATGTCGTTCCAGAACAGGATACCGCAGCAGTATCCTTTTGTTTCACGTGCACACGAAAACAAGGATATTACCCCGCCCCCAAGACTTGGATCATCGGGAAGCAGCGTCTCCGAAACGCGGACTGACGCGAGCGGCAATCGGCCAACTCGGGTCGGCGCTGAAAGTGGCACATACACATGCACATATCATGGTTGCACTCTACGCTTCGATACACCTGTCCAGCTACAGAAACACAAGCGCGAAGGGCATCGCCAATCGCATAATCTTGGTGGTCCTCCAGATAACAGCCTCGCAACGTCCATACTGAACAGTCAAGCTGGTCCGCACCGTTGCGACCGCATTAACCCTAGCACTGGCAAGCCGTGCAACACCATCTTTTCTCGTCCCTACGATTTGACTCGGCACGAGGACACTATCCACAATGAGCGAAAGCACAAAGTCCAGTGCGATCTTTGCACAGTTGAGAAAACGTTCAGTCGCGCTGATGCACTCACCAGGCACTATCGTGTGTGCCATCCCGAGGCAGAACTACCAGGGAAGCAACGCAGGCGACTGGTCTGATGACGATGCTCGAACTGAGCCTGCTTGCGACTCGGCAGTCTCGGGCCACTGAGCCGGTCTTTACAGGGCGTGAGCGGATCTAAGGGGGGTGCGGTACTGAACCCTTTGTTAGTAGTGGGGCCCATCTGCATATACTGTGGGCATTGAAGCCAATCAGAGCAAGGCTGATGGGGCTTTCGGTCTCGTCCAGCTGCAGGGTCCTTGCCGATCCAGACCGCTGACGTCACTTATTCGTCAAGCCATCCGGTGGGCTGACATCACCACAGCGCAATATATTCGCATTCGGCCACTTGAAAGCAAGCCATTCTCTCTGCGCGCCGGCACTGGCATCATCGCGCAGTGACTTGTCCTGCTAGTCCCCCCCCCCCCTCCGGTCAGGATCAAGGATCACGTTGGTGTTCGAAGACAAGGGCTATGAAGCAAATCTCGCGCTGGCCCTGTTTTGGGGTCTCGCATCACCCCAGCCATCCTACATCATCGACACCAAGTTTCATTCGTGAGCGTCCCATCGGGCAATGTCACAGGTTTTCGTGGCTACTGTTTATTTTACTCTTCTCTCTCTTTGATTAGGTCAAAACTACATCATAGTTGTGTCAGCCTTCTGCGGAGCTTTTTATTACTCATGACAGAGGAGCAAACTTCCACGTCACCTTTGTTTCGATTCCATTTTTACGTCATACGCTGTGTGGAGTTATGTTATTGCCTTGTATTGCATATTGGGTTAGATCAAAACCTTTTGAGTTGGTGGACATAGCAATTTTATCTTAGGCGAGGCGAACTATGGTGCAGGGATATAGAACCTGAGAATGTAATATATCTATAGAACACGCGACAACACGAAACAACGAAGGCTACTTTCACGCTGGTAAATCAACATGATATTCGTCTATAGAGATCTATGTCCTCAATTTGATAATGACACTTATTGTGACTCTTTGAACTGCTTTACTGCTCGAGGGTGTGCGAATTACTGGTTACCAAGAACGAGCTGTCTGGCATCGGCGTACAGCGGACAAATGCCTGTCCAAAGTTGAAACTGGTCTCTTTATTAGCATGCTCCACAAGTATACAAATGTTAGATGACTAACCTGGTACCAGCCTTGAGACGCAAGAACTTCAAGTCCAGGAATGGTAGACCAACCAGCGTTTTCGGCAATTTTCACAGCTGGAGTCTCGCGGGGCTTGTACGCCATATCCAAAAGAACACGCCGTGACGAGGCCGTAACAGAGGCGTTGACGACACCACTGATGACTCTCTCGGTGATAGTATCGATGGGCTTGTCGCCGGGGATTGTGCTGACAATCACGTTAGGCAGCGTTGCAATTGTCGCGATATTGGTGACTGCCTGCAGATTGTAGTTGCGAGGAAATTCGGCAATCATGGCCGCAACATTCTTGGCCGTGCGACCTACCACGTAAATGCGGTTGAATCCGAGAGAGTGCAAAGCGAACACAGCAGCCCTCGTAGTTCCTCCTGATCCAATCACCATGGCAGCAGAATCGCCGGAGATCTCGCCGAGCCCTCCAACACGGAGGGCATGGACGATGCCTTTCCAATCAGTATTGTCTCCGAGGAGGCGCTTCGTGCCGTCTCCTACACTACCGGAGAACGGGATCACCGTGTTGACGGCGCCAATTGTACGCGCCGCTTCTGTGAGTTCGTCTAGCTCGTCGATTATGTCGAGTTTAAGAGGTATGGTTACCGATGCGCCACCAAAGCTAGGGTCGCGCAGTGTAGCTCTAACGTCTGCTACGTTGTCAGTTTCCATCAGATGATACCGGTGTGGGAGGCCACATTGAGCAAACAAGCCGTTGTGAAGTGAAGGCGATCGCGACTGAGAAATTGGCTTTCCGAAGAGAAAGAAAGAGCAGCCCTCCAGTTGTCCGACGAGTGCAAGCGCTTGCCGAATCTCTGTAGCACTCAATTGCCCAGGAGCTGCTTTGAACGGCAATGCTGGGTGTGACACGGGCGTCAAGAAACCGTTGAGGACGCGGCTGAGCTGGCCAGCCGTCCCCATGTTGATGGCGATGATAGGTGGACTTCCATCAGATGCCATCCTAGACTTGAACCGAAATAGATCGAAGTTATCCTCGACTTTCTGAGCCAGGCCCACAAGTTTGATGATGTCGCCGTACTGCAGAGCACGATTGTAGTGTGCAATCCAAGAGGCGTTTCTCCAAGAGAGCGTGCCGCGTGGGTCGTGGTGAGAAGCAATCAGTTTTGTGTGACCCCGCGCAAGGCCGACTGATTCCAGTATATGATCCGGTGTTGTTATTTCCACATCAAGATATTCTGTGCCAAGCCGCAAACCAAGATGGTACAGCGCTGACAGAGCCTCCGTGGCATCGTCAGGGAACGACCCACCTTGCGATGCGGTGCGGACGGTGAAGATGATGGGCAAGCCAGTGTGCTGTCTAAGGATTGACACCTGCTCCGTTACGAAATCCAGGTCTTGGCTTCTCAGGAGATCTACGCGGAGCTCGACAGCATCCGAGCCAACGACTGCCTTGGGCAGTAGATCAGTAGCGGCAACCAAGTCCGGGAGCGTCAAAGAAACGAAGAAACTTTGGTCTCTTTTGCACAACTGCGTGAGCTGTGTGTCTCTGCCAAAAATGGTCGACACAAAGCGCGAGAAATCTTTCGGAATGATACTCTTACTGGTAGGCTCATGCGTGTGAATGCTGTAGTAGCTGAAGTTGCTGCACTGCTTGTACCAGTCCTTGCGGCGGTTGTACACATCTCTCATTTCTGAGCTGTATGCAGGCCGTGTCTTGTCCCTCTCCAGATACTGCATCACTTGATTAATGTTGCGCTGGATCAAGATCACCTTGCCTCCGCTGCCAGCGTAAGCCTTGAGAAGGTCCCTCGCCTCTGCAGTTTCGACTATGCCACCGCCACAGGAAATTACGTAGCCAAGCGGCTGCCGTTCCACGACATCTCGTAACAGCTGAAGTTCCTGTTCACGAAATCCATCCCAACCGTGTTTGGCGATGATTTCCGGGATTGGCTGACCAGAGCGGCGCTCGAGCTCATGGTCAAGGTCAACTGACTTCCAGCCTAAGCTTTTTGCAATCCAGTTACCGGCAGTAGTTTTGCCAGCACCGCGCATTCCAATGAGAAATATGGATCGTTCATTCTTGTCAGCGGCTGCTGGTTTTTTGCCGTCTTCTGCGTGACACTTGTCCGTGCCATCCAGGCGGACCTTGAACGATTGGGCCATAGTATCCCACCAGCCAGGCCAGGTCTTGCCAACGCATTCCTTTTGAGTAATGACGGCACCAGCAGGAGCCACAACAGATAGGACGCTCAGACTCATAGCAACGCGGTGGTCATCATAACAGAAGAGGCCCTTGGATGGTGTTTGCAAATGCGTTGGCGCAATGCCAAAGATCTCGATGCCATCATCGAGCTCCGAACACTGGACACCGAATTTGGCAAGCTGGATTCTCATGGCGGCGATGCGGTTACACTCCTTGACTCGCTGATTTGCGATACCTGTGATTTGTGTTTTGCCGCCAGCGATAGCGGCTAAAACAGAGGCGGTCAGGAAGGCATCGGTCATAGGCTCCATGTCGACGTGCGCTAGAGGCCTGAGCGCTCCAAGCCTAGGTCCTGTAACGGTTGTCGACGTCTCTGTTTGTTGAACGGTACAGCCCATGGGACGAAGAACATCAACGGCGAAGCGAGCGTCCCCCTGGAGCGAAGCGGAGCCGATGTTAGGGATCGTGCAAGTGGTTCCCGTAATGGCCGCCATTGCTAGAGGATACGTCGCCGAGCTGGCATCGCCTTCAACTACGTACTCCGCAGGGCTTTTGTAAGTACCCTGTGGGATGTGGTACGTGTGTGGCTCCGTGGTAGAGGCTGTCACAGTAACGCCAAATGACTTCATCATCGCGATCGTCAGCTCGATATATAGCTGCGAGATGGGCTTGCCACCGACGAGTTTCAAAGTGACAGGGTTCTTTGCGTATGGGGCGGCCATGAGAATTGACGAAACGTATTGAGACGATATGGTGGCGGCGAGCTCGATGACACCGCCCTCAAACCCGCCAGATGAGCTAATCCTCAGAGGCAAGCTCTTTTCCTGTTCCAAGTACTCGATAGATACACCGTTTAGCCTCAGCGCATCAACGAGCGGACCAATGGGGCGCGCTTTCATATGGGAGTTGCCAGTAAGAACGACAGACTTGGCGACATCGGTAGGCGAGCACAAAGCGGCAACTGTGGTCAAGAAACGCGACGCAGTTCCGGCATTTCCGATGTAGAGCTCTTCACTGTTCGCGCTGAGCTTACCGGCGTTGCCGTTGACAACGAGAAGTTCACCTCCAGCCTCCCACGAGTACGAAGCGCCGCGGAGCTTGGCAATGGCGGCAAGCATATAGGCGGTGTCGTCCGAATGCAGCAAATTTTTGATCTTGCAGGGTCCAGCTCCGAGCGCGGCGAGAATCAGTGCTCTATTGGATATACTCTTGGAGCCGGGTGGGCTCACGGCGACGCTGAGATTGTCAGGTATCGTAGGTGAGACGACGACAGCCGGTGAGAGAATGGTTCTGATGCTTTCATCATCCACAACACTCGCCTTTGGCTCGTACGTCTTGCCAATGGCGGATAGCAGTACAATCTTTTTTCTCAAACCCTCGTTCTTCTTGTCGACAGCCATCTTCTGAAGGACCACATCGACAGGACAAGCTCTGCTTGCGGTCAACCGCTGGACGCGTTTGTCATGCAACGAGACGGGCAGGCCGTAGGCAGCGATGCACTTGACCAACCTGGCGACGGCCTCGGGACGCAGAACACCGAGGTAACGGGCCAGTTCCGCCTCCTTGACCATACCAATGGCAACAGCTTCGCCATGAAGCAGCTGCGGCGTAAGAATGGCCTCGATGCCGTGGCCAATGGAGTGGCCAAAGTTGAGGAGGTTCCGTAGGCCACCCTCCCGCTCATCGCTGGAGACGACTTCGGCTTTGACGCGGGCAGAGCCTACGACAATGCGCTTCAATGTTTCTTTAAGTGGCACCAGCCGGTCTGCAGCCCGTGACCGAACGCAGGCAAGGATCTTGGTGGCGGATGCTTCCAGAAAGTCGAACTCGGTTTCGTTCCAGATGGCGGCTGTCTTGACTACCTCAGCCATTCCGTTGATGAACTCGCGGACGGGCAAGGTTTCTAAGAACTGCAAATCAATGTAGATTCGTCGCGGTTGCCAAAATGCCCCGACCAAGTTCTTTCCCATAGGGGTGTCGATGGCCGTTTTGCCGCCGATAGACGAATCGACCATGGCGAGCAGCGTGGTCGGAACTTGTACGAAGCGAATGCCGCGCATGAATGTGGCAGCAACATAGCCGATCATGTCGCCAATGACGCCACCTCCGAGAGCAATGATGACTGTGTCGCGCGTGCATTGCTGCGAGAGCATCCAGTCTTCGACCTCGCCCTTTGTTTCTCGATTCTTAGAGGCTTCTCCTGGCGGGATCGTGTACGTGAGAAGACGGGTACCCTGGCCTTTCGTTACGGTGTCAAAGCTCGCTCGAAATGTTGGCACATAGGTGTTGTGCAGGTTCGTGTCGGTGATGAGGACGTAGGTGGACGAGGCGACTTTGTCCAAGAGGTCTTGGACGATGTAGTCCGCCCAGAGGCCATTGTCGACCACAATGCTGGGCTGGCCTAGAATGGGAATAATGACGGGAGATGCTGATTCCAATTCGGCCATCTTGCGCGGTTGTGATGCGAAAATATGCCGTTCAGACAGCTGTCATCCCTGGCGCAGAGCTGGCAAGAATGTTGTAGGATCTTTAAAAATGTGACTAACTTTTGCAGGTGGCCAAGTGGCATGATACCGATATCGGTTTTAGGTTGATTGGTGGAGACCCCGTCAGTGCCCGTTATGATCCCAGGACTGAACTGTGTCCGAACCCAAAAAGTCAGAATTGCGGCAATGTCATTTGCACTTTCGCCCATTGTTTCATCTTGGTCTTTTCTGTTTTCTCGCATCTAGCGTGCGAGTAATGCTGTTATACCTTGCTGGCCCTGAAGACATGGTGCTCGCCTTGGTCAGAACAAGGTGAAGCTACCAAAGGTACCTTGAATGTACGGAGTAGTTAACTTGCGCTTCACACGCACTGAACAAGGCACTTTAAGTATGCCTTGCTAGACGCAGCCAGACCGTGATTTCTACTCGGGGCTCAATAGCTGTGGAGTGTGTAACTACCTGACTACTCTCATTATTTACCCCCTGACACTTTCAACCGAGCACTTATCAGCCAAAGCGGGTACCAAAAAAGATGGCCACCTTCTGGTAATAAATAGAGAGTTTGAGAGTCTGATAGAGAGAATCGGCCATAAATATTTTTCGGTACCCGCTTTGCCCTAGTGTCTACACAATCTGTCTCGAGTGGAGACCCCGGCAGGGACCCTGACCACAAGTATGTACTTGCCACCTCTCAATCTAAAGTACCTCTCCGTGTAGCGCCTCCTACCCACTAACTCCTACCCACTAACAGTGCCCGCCTCGTGACCTGTTCTCCATTTCTCAGATCACAATGAGCTGTGAATATCTCATTAGCACCTGCACACGCACAGCGGGACAAGATACTTGCCTCGATCAACTTCTCCGTCAGTTCGAAGCAATAGGCTCTGTTCTCTTCTGCCATATCCTGGAATGAGGCTTTCCACAAGCCGCTGAAGCCCATCTCGTCCAGTGCCTCCTCCAGCGACTCCATGGATCCCGTAGCGTTCGCATACTCCCTCTCCGACGTGAGCGTTCGCACAAGTGTGTGCGCCGCCTCCAGAGCCGCAGAATCCTGCCCGTGCATGAGCACATAATTGAGAATGGAAGGCATCGCGCCGCATCTAGTCAACGTCAGTACCGTGCTTAATAACACGTCGTAGACAAAGGACCCTCACAAGTAGGCAAAGACGGTCCGTCTTGACAGCGCCAGTTCATTGAGCCACAGCAATGTCCTCGCCTGTATGGTATCTTCCAGATACTGGAAACCCACCAGCTCGATCGCGGATATCAGGAGCAAGTCTCGATCCTCCATGACGTCGGCGTGGCGCCGCCGGCTGCCCTCCAGCATATCGCTGATGCCATCCGGGTTAATGCCCGCCAGCCACATATTGTCGCGGAAATTATCTTGGTCGACGCAGCGAGCGAGCATGAGCGCCAGATAGGGTGAGTCGACCATGGTGTGAACGATCTTGGCTGAAAGCTGCGAGGCCGGCGCCGTCATCTCCAGGAACGACCAAAGCACTCGTACGGCGGCGAGCCGGGTTGTGTTATCGGTCAGACCACGGACCAGACATGCACACACGGCAAAGTGAAAGTTATCCTCGTCGAAATGAATGCCATAAGCCTCATCCAGCGGCTCCACGGCCTCCTCGAGTTGGCCACGGCTGTGAAGTAGCATCGGAATCATCCTGTCACCGCGCACGCCGCCAATGTTGCCGATGTTGATCAGTAGCGCCTCCAGGAACTGCGCTGTGCAGTTGAACAGGCTGCCTGGCACGAGGCGGATAAGGGACATGGCCAGCCAGAACAGCTGCAGTCCGTATCGGGAAGCGGATGGAAGGTTGGCCATCATCCGAGACAGGCAAGTGATGATGGACGTGAGCATCTCGCTATGCCCATCTTCGCCAAACTGGCTCACGCTGTTGCGCAGCGCGACCAGGACCTGGTAGAGCAAATCGTCATCCACCTCTTCCTTGGCGAGGTATCCCATGACGGCAAAAGCGCGAGGCTGCACAGCCGGGTTGTTCTGAAACGCAGTGCTCGCGACCAGGCTCATCCAGCGCGACCTCCAGGCGTTGGCCGTGTCGATTGACGGCGCTGCCACGGTGCATATGTCGAATAGGATGGCCACAAGATTCTCCATGGCCGGGAGCGTAGACCCCTCGTCTCCAGCGACCGACACTGAGGCCACGTCCTTCCTGGTAGACGGCGGCGTGGAGAAAATGCCGCTCCGGGGTTCGGAGAGCACGTCCAAGGACGCGCGAAGCTTGGTGAACTTGGACTCGTCCAGGATAAATGATGTGCAAACAGCGTGGACCGTGTTGGTCAGTAGCCTGTGCACCTGGACTCTGATGTTGGCGCTGCCAGTGTTCACCAACATGGTGACGATGTGAAAGATCTCGGGTAGGAAGAGTTGCGACTGCACGCCGCTACTGAAGGACAGTGATGTACATATTTGCAGCATGATGCAAATCTCTGGCCAGACCGCATTGTCGGGCAAATTCTTCGTCGGCCGAAGTGAGGAGCGGTTCAGCGCCTTTCGTAGTCTTGAAAGAAACCGCGCACGCAGTGTCACCGTGCCAATGTTGGCGGCTGTAGACGCCACTATTTTGACAAGGTCCTGCTGCAAGCTAAACCCGATGGCCATCTTCATGACTTCCTCGAGAAAGATGTCGAGCAGTACTTCATCCTGGCTGAGGGAAGGCCAAACAAACTGGTCCAGCGCATAGCTCAAAGATTGGTCCAGCGCGATCAGATCGATGAACTTGCGAAAGATGGCGGCGACCTTTTCTTTGCCTTTCTCACCGTCCATCTCGCCCGTCAACACATCTCTCCGTAGACCGGAGAGCCAGGGAGCCATATACGCCAGGCTCAATGGTTTTTGCTCCTCCGTAAATGTCTCCCAGCTCGCGATGAATTCTGACAAGAAGTCACACGTGAGCTGGGGCTCTGAAGCGGCGAGCTCTCGGCTAATGTTGACAATGAAGCGCGTAGGGTCGATGGGAATTGCGAGGTCTGAGGTCATGGTCAGCCCGGTGAATTGAGGGTGCTCCTCTTCTTTGATCGTCACGTCTTACCTCGTGAGCAGACGAGCCGCGTGGCTGTCCGAAATTTGAACGTGATGCACAGGGCGCCGAGCAGGTTGTAGGAAGCCAGACGAAGCTGATGGTCGAGGCTGGACAGGTTCATAAACGCCAGGTTCAGCAGTGTACCGGGAACATCCTGCGGCCGAAGGAGCCGCTCCACAGGCTTGTGCATTCGGTTCTCGTTGCTATATTTGGCCTTGGCGCTTCTGATGGTTTGGAGGATGCTCGCCTTATGAGGGCTCGTGAAGCACATGACGATGCGTCCGCCGTCGGCACGCAGCCCAAACGAGAACCCATCGTCACTCGGGATTGCCGTCGCCACTTCGTCAATGTCACTGAGGCGAAAAATGTCGTTGATTGTCGTGCTCAGCCGCAGGCTGGAGAAGATTTCCTGGTGCTTGTTGGTCATCACCTGCACGTGGTGGCTTCCCACTTTGATCGTGACATCCACTTTGCCCTTCGATTTAGATAAGCGTGTGGCATGTTTGAAAAAGTACCGTACGTCGGAAACGATTGCGGAGTGCTCCTTTGGAACCTGAAGCGAGCTGATGAGAAAGTGGTTCTGCATTTCTTTCATGCCTCCGGGCAGCAGATACTTGACGTTATTCGGGTGAAAGGCGCTGGATTCATTTTTGGTCACAATCCTCAGCAGTCGTCGGAAGCATCGCCTAAATTGCCAGTTAGCCATGTGTAGCCGCTAGTGTCGTCATATTCTGCGTACTTGAAGGCGCTGTTCATGTTGTATATGTAGATACGAGCAAGATTCTGCCTCACCTCGTAGGGCATGAGGAGATCGAGCATCTTGAAAAAATCATCCTTAGGGTCATTTTTGCCGCTGTAGCAAGTGGCATCAATAAGGATGCTGAAAGGCTCATGCCATAGCCGGCTTGCAATCTGCCTCATGTTAGCCACTGCCCAAAGACGCCTGAATAGGTCATTATTAATGGTCGACCCGGCAAGCTCACCTTCAGGAAGCAGTGCAGCAGTGTCTCGTGGTCAATACCCTCCGTTTCGCTATAGCGCAATATGATGAGTATTGTCGACAGGCCATCCTATATAAAAGTCAACGACTGGACCCTTGAGCTTTCCCTACATGGTTGACTCACCAGTGTGATGCCGCCGTCGAAGATGGTACGCGACGTCAGAAATGATTCGGTGCTGCGGAAGGCGTTACGTAGCATGAAGTTCTGGAAACGCGAATACAGCGGCGGTCCGTTCAGAGCAATCTGCGGTCTGTTCCAAGATATCGCCAGAGGAGGAGGCCCCAGGTTCGTAATGAGGTTGCGTAAAGGCTCCAAGACAGGGGAGTGGCTGCGCGGCGAGCTGTCTTGGAGGCGGAGATACTCTCGGCGCTCCTTGGCAACCAATGTCTGGCGCAGGTGGTCCCAGTGGTCATACAGAAAACGGTGGAAGGATACGCAGGAGCCGAAGTCTGTCGTCTCTTTGGTGACAACGATATCGAGTGTGACTGGGGGTACCTGTCATGGCCTCGCGTCAGAATAGAGCAGGTACAAGAAGTGTACTAACTAGCTCACAGATATAGTGCGAAGAAAGCCGGTCACGACAGAAATATTCTTCACCAGGAACCGATTCAGAGGGTACATATACGGCTCTTTGGTGCCAAACAGAACATTGTTGGCCAGGTTCTGGATTACCTTGGCGATAAGCAATAGCCCTCGACGCAGCTCCTTGGGTGGCGGCGCGTCGACCAGACCCTCCGCTTCTGGTGCCACTATTGCAGGGCAGAAGAAACGCAGAAAGATAAACGCACCTACGGCTGTGTATTTTGCATCAGGAAACCTCGGGAGAACAGCGTCATGGATCTGTGCGCGTGAGCATACTGAACATGATTTGAATACATCGGAGCTCTTTGCCAACGTACAATGCTGCAAATCTTTCGAAAAGGGGCGGGTATGCTCGGGGCCGAGCCACAGATATCGTCCATGAAAACTTTGGCTACGATTTGGAGCTGTGTGGCGTTCTTCTTGAGCTCCTCCGCAGAGGAAACCCTTGCCGGATCCAGCTCCAGATCCAGCTCTTGCGAGGTCATCATAAGCCTGTCCAGAATCTTGCGCAACGTCTCTTGCAGATAATCGAAGCCTTTCCACTTGGCATACAATGACAACATCTTGGTGGCCACACAACTCCTCCTCAAGATTTCGGTGGCGTGCTCTGGTATGGTTAGCAAATTGAGGAAAGCCGACTGCACGCATGTGCATTACCTGTTTGGTCTATTTCTTCTTTGATGAGAGCTTCCAGGAGTTCAAACGTGCGACCTCTCTGTTCGAAAACGATCAAGAGGCAAATGGTCAGCTCGTCAATCTCTGCGCTAGGGCATATGGCACTCATGGACACGGCCAGCGATAGATCTTTCGTAAGAAGCTGCATTTTCACGCTGGTTAGCGACGTTGTAGCACACGAGCACGGTCCGCATACCCCAAGCAATTCCTCATATCTCTCGCTCACAGCGGAATCTGACAAGTTACTGAATTCTGTCCCCTGTGTGAGAATATTATACAATACTTTGATGAATACAGTTCGGACTTCGACGCTGTTGTGATAGCCATGGGAGAGTGAATGCTTCAAGCCGACATCAATGTTTGCACTGAGGAGATTCGACAGAATTGTGATTGCCATCTCGGAGCTAGAGAATGCGTCTGCTGATTCAGAAGCGACGTCTGGTCGCACTGTGCTAATAAGGTCGAGAAAACGTTTGAAGTAGCGCTGAAACAGCTCCGACTTCTTCGCGCTCATGCTGGCATCTGATTGTATCTCCTGCGTCTGTAGTGGTAACCTGAAAGTGAGGTCGCAAAGAGCCTTGAGGCATGCTCTGGTGAGGTCCTTCTGCATACGACCCAACTCTTCCAACCTAGATGTTCCTCGGTTCGGTTCCAAAGCAGGCTCAGGGTTCCGGATCCATCCAATGATGTATTCAAGAAGCTGGTTGCGTATGAGGACATCATCTCTGAGGTTCAGGTGCTCTCTCCTGCGCATAATTGCTTCTGACAACTGGCAGATCCGAATTTTGACGCGCAGCGATGTGGCTGTGTCGGTGCAATCGGCAATGAACTTGGCAAAGCTGAGAGTGAGCGAACCTAAATGTACAGACGAAGCGGCCGCATGGTCCTGGGGACTATCGAGCCGCTCTACCACGTCTTTCAAAAGGGACACAGCCTGCTCGGCAAAGACGATTTCGCTGTCCTGCGCTCGTTCTGCGTCGGGAGCAAAGGCGCCGGTGAAAAAGGCCTCTACTTCAGACTCCAGAGACTTGAAGAGCGGCTGGTACAGGCATGAGGGCACCTCATGTGCGAATATCTCTCGCATTGTCTCTCTCACTTTTACGTTTGCGCAGCCCATTAGCTGAATGCCTAAACGAAGGTACCGCGCCAAGAGAGTCTCCTCGCCGTCGCCGGTAGGATGACTGTCTATCCACCGTAACGCTTTCAAAGCGGGCTCTTCTAGAGTCAGAGCCTGCTGGGCTGTGCAAATGCCTCCGATTGAGGCGAGAAAGCCGCCCAGATCTCTCCATTGCGAGAGAGTCGTGGCTGCCGTTGCATCGGCTGATGTCACTGACACTTGTCTACCCAGGGAGATCCAGGCATCGAATGCTGCCTCCCATGCATGGACAATGCCAGAGGTCGGATACTTAATACGCCGAAGTAGACTTCTTGTTCTTTTTTGAAAGGCAACAAGGCCAGTCAATCGAAAAGCTGGTGATGCAATCTCTTGAAATGTGTCAGCGTTTCGAAGAATCGCACAGCAGGAACTGGCGGACTCGGAGTGGCTGTCCACCCATCGACACTCTTCCACGAATATGTTGAGACAAGACGCGGCGATCTCGCAGTCTTCGATACCTGGTAAGCACAAAGATACCAGAAGAGCGGTTTCTAGTTTCGTTGTGCTGGCGACTAAATCTGACGGGCTGCCATGTATTTTTGAAAGTCCCTAAACAAAGTAAGCGACAGAAGGAGGGCGGGTAAGGAACAGTGCCTTACAGGAAGCCTTCGGAGAAGAGCCAGTCGATCCTTCAAATAACTATGGATTTCTGCAAGAGCGGACTGGTCCTTCTCATCTACTAGACGCTCGCTAAGCTTGAGAAGGGTATTGGAGCTGTGCGCTTTTGTCAGCATTGTACTGGCGGTTAAAAGTATTATCAGAGTGGTACCTGCGGTACCAAACAACGCTCCGAAGTTTAAGCATGTCCGGCTCTTCTCTGCTATCAAATTCACTCAGCAGAATCGGAAGATCGGCATGCAGCCTCTCGATAACTTCGGCAGCCTGTTGGCGAATGGCAGGCTCAGCAGAGATGGCACAAAGCAGGAGGCCTTCAAAAAATACAGAATCTGAAGTAGGATCTGAGAGCTCTCCAATGATAGGTGACTGGTCTATGCTCAGAAATTTCAAGACGCTGCAGATCATGTTCGCCTTAGCTCTATCCTCGTCACGGTACTTCTCGGCCTGCATAATCAGCACGACTACCACAAACATGGGCAAGAGTTTTTTGCAGTACCTCTAGCTGTATCTTCATCAGGGGTATAGATTTCTCAAAGAGCTGTGCATACTTCCCCGGCTCAGGTAGCTGGGCGAAGTAGCAACAGGCCTGAATCATGGCGAGTTTGGAGCCGTCCGGTGCAGATGATGCTATACAATCGCCATAAAGATTGTCGATGCAGCCGTCAAGATTTAGATATGATAGACTCACAAGTGCTGCAGTCATCATGCTCTGATCCCAGACTGGCAGCGCGGCGGCGGAGGCAATGGAGGGACGAAAGATAGCATCGCGAACTTCGTCTTGTACGTCCATCGCGTAGCTGACAAGTGCCGAGTCGCTCTCGACGTCAAAGTGGCGGGCAACTCTAAGAAGAGAAACAAGACAGTATCCTGCCTGTTCGTTTCCATTCCTGAGAGCTTTTCGCAGACTATCGAGGAAAGAGACCTTCTTGATCACGCTGTGGCCTTTGGCTTCCCGCAAGTTGCTAGCCACTTCAAAAATATCAGGCATCAAAAAGAGCAAAGTCGTTTGTAGAGGATATAGATATACTCTGCGTCTGCCTGTTTCTGTAGCGGTTTGCGTCATGTCGAACAAGGTATCAGCACCACCATCCAGCCTCTTGTGAAGCCGATGGAGCATGACAAACTCGTCAGGGTATCTGTCTATCCATCGCGTTATCAGAAGAGGCATCGCCACAGCCACTGTGTTCTGATATGCCCCTCTAAAATGAAGGTAGCTAGAGCAAAGCTCTTGGATAAGAAGTCCGAGCTTCGACCCGTCAACCCAACAAAAGGACAACAGTCTCAAAACGATCAGAGCACCACGTTCATGCTGCTGGACACTTTTGAGCACATCTGCATGAGAATCCCCAGCGGTAGATCGTACAGTGTGGATGACGGTGCGGATGTAGTTAAAGGTAAATGTCCAGCTCGAGACAGTCATGAACTCCACGATTACTTTGACGTGTCGGTCGATTTCGATCAGTTGATAGTCCAGAGACTCGAGGCCATCCGTGAGTCGAATTGCTGTACCGCCTGTTGACCCTCTGCCTGGTCGTGGAATTGTGACATTCGCCACGGATGTTTGGTCCAAGAGCGTTTGTGCGGGAAGTACGTAATCATCCGGTATAGGCTCGAGAACAGATTTGAATACTTCGAAGAGGCGAGTTACAAGCTCCTCGCTCAGCCTCTCAGGAGCGAATCCGTCCTTCTTCCTGGCTGACCAGTTCGCGGAGCAGCATGTTGATACAAGACTCAAAACATAGAGCTCGGACTGTAGAACATGGCTAGGATGGGTTGCAATTTTTGCGAAAGGTTGTGAAAGGTCCTCCAGAAGATCAAGAAGTGAGTTGATCACAACTCCAGCTGTTGTCTTGCTGAGTTTGATGAGAGTTGCTTGTGTTGTTTGCACGACTTCGTCGTCATCTAGTCGCGTACCACTGGCTCCTAGACGATGAGGCAGCTTCGGCTAGTAAGCATGATGATGATGCGGTACGTCTCCCTCACGAGGTCTTACTTTTGCAGCAATTCTATCGACAAGATAGCCCACCAGTCCTGCGTCACCGCTCATTGCATTTGCATCTCGATTTGTGATGTATACGATGGATGATGGATCACGGCGTACGGACGACAGGAGATTCATTGATCATCAGTATATTGGTCAGGTTTGAAAATAGTGACCATATGCCTAAATTGGCGGGCGCAAAGGTTCATTTAAATTGTTGGCTTAGGGAAGAACGCTCACTCATGTAAAAATGCTGTGCTTATTTCTCTTTTTCTTTTTGGGGGCTTTTTTTCGAGAGTAAGGGCTGGGTAACCTAGCCACTGGGCCGAGTTTAGGCTCTGAGGGAGGATTTTTTTTTCGGTCCCCGCTGACAAGTGATCCTGCAAATATATTCTGTTGACGATGAGATAACTCGCCATCAACACCAAATATTCATGTCGGTTACCACTCCGTTCTTTGACTTGATTAATTTTGCATGTCTTTGCCAATCCTAATCGTACTTGAGTCCTGAGCTATTCCTCAAACTGCGAGCTCACGGCTTTTTTCTTCTTCTTTTCCCTTAAATTCATTTCGTGACTGACACCTTAGTTCCCATTCTTTTTTTCACTATAACCTTACTCGACTCGCCTTAGAAAATGGAAATATGCTTAATTGAAAAGTTTGACTCGAACACTAGTTCATAGCTAATTGCAATGAGCCCGTGCGTGTGAATACGCAGACAGGAGCACTTTCTCGATTTGTAACGCATGACTATCGGGCTGTTTCGTGGTTTAGGCTTATTATCATGTATGTATCCACCGTTGATGGATTTCTTAGCACACAGCAATCATAAGTTTGTGCTTAACCGAGCTCTGTAACGAATATTCATCTAGATTTCCATCACCAGGCTCCCAACAGTCCTTTTAAACTTCTTTCCGTTTGCACTTTTTCTGGCTCAAGTCTTTTCAATGGTCCTTTGTCATGTTTTGACACACGACGTCCAGCGACTGCTATTCGGGTCGCTGAGCGAGTCACTGCTTTGTTCTTGGCGGTGATCAATACAGCTTCAGCATTACGCAGCAGACCCGACAATGGTCGCGTATCATGGCGGTGCATAAGCTTCGGCTCTTCACGAGCCTCTCATATGGCGCGGAGCCGACCACGGCTATGGGATTTACGTCTTCAACGGCGACGACCTGGCTGCATTGTTGACTCCGTTGCAATTGGATAGAAGACGGTGCGGAGCGCACAACGACTTCTTTTTGCGAGGCCGGCAGAACTTCATGAACAGTGTGGAGAGCTCCAACTTAGGGAGTTGCAAACAAGTCTGGTCAGCAGATACACGTGCCACGCACCCACTACAATGCACGATTGATACCCACTTTTGCATTGTTGCTTTTTGATTTCGAAAATCGAAAATCGAATTCCGTGATTCGCACTGCATCACGCCAAAACACGGCATCTTTAAGCGCCTATATCCTAACCAGTATAGTCACCACTAAAATGATTTCTATATAAATAGATAGAGTATTAAGTAAGCTTTATATTTACTTATTTACTTTTATAATTTATAAATAATATATAAAAATTTAACTCTTTTACTATTATAAATATAAAATAAAGACTTATAATTAACATAGTTAAT